TGGCGAAAATTGGAATGCACGCGTAGATATAATGCCGCTTCTACAATTGGCAAATATGGCATCGGAGACCGGTGCCCCAATGGGGAAAGCCTTCTTCGTTATGCCGAACTATTTATTACTAACACTTGATTCCGGCAAAACATCCAGTCACGTGGAACCCAGATAACCAACAATTCAACCGGATTGATTATTATATCTTGTCAGTCACAGTTGGAAGAATTCCGTACTAGATAGTCGTTTCTAGCGCGGAGCTGAAATGGGCAATCTTCATGGATCTGACTATTATGGTTCGAACCAAAATCTCCATAAAACTTACAACTTGCAGAAAATGCATCCTCCAAGATCCTTCAACTATCTCAAACTAAAAAATTCTGGGACAGTGAGCTCATTTCAAACTGAATTTCTGAATTTCAAACTAAATTTCAAACTGAAGCATCTCAGTGATACAAATATCAACGATTTTTCTGGAACGGCAAATGAATACTGGTCCAAATTAAAGGAATGTCTCCGAAAGTCAGCCACTTCCACACTAGGGCATATTAATAGGAGGTGTGCTGATTGAGTATCGGAAGCAACTGTCCAACTGTCAGAAAAGCTACCAAAGTACGAATGTCAAGTAATCCTGACTACCGGATGCTTCGAAGATTTGCGAGAGCAGCGCTGCTGGACAGAAATCACTATTGGAGTGACATGGCCCCAAGAATGGAGGCGGCGGCTTGATTAGGCGATAATAGGAAACTATTCCGCTTTCTTCATGAAGCAATTACAATTGGGGGAATGATCAGTGAAATGGTGATGGAGAGCAATGGCGTGCCAGTCAAGAGCATTAAGGACCGCCTCATAAGGAAATTCTTTGGGGCCAAACTTAATCATGAAACGCCATTTGTTTTCCCTGATATAGTTGATACGTTTGCCTAAGCATATCGCGAGTTTCCAACAGAAGAAGAAATAATTTCCGTTATCAATAAGCTTTAAGGCCAATAAAGCTCCGGAGGAAGATGGTCTTCAGGCTGAACTGTTTAAATGTTGTCCATCGTCCTTCATAACGCACCTTCAACAAATGTATTCTCTGGTATGGGGAAAATAAATATTACCAGATGATTTGAGCAAAGCAATTTTGCGCCAATTCTCAAGAAAGATGATAGGACATGCTGCGACAATTATCGAGGAATCAGTCTACTACACGTTTGAGCGAAAATTTTTGCTTTCCTTTTACTCAACAGATTTATGGAAGTACGGGACAACAGGATCCACCCTAATCAGGTTGGATTCAGATCGATGCGCGGTTGTGCTGACCAGATATTCACGTTAAGAAAGGTGTTGGAACATCGCTTCAAATATTTGCAACCCACTGTCACGTGTTTCATCGACTTTGCGACCTTTGATTCAGTTGTTAGAAAGGCGCTTTGGAGGATGATGGAACGTGACGGTGTTCCAGAGAAAATCATTAGATTCATAAAGGCATTTTATGAGCGCACGTCGGCAGAGGTCTGTTTATATGGGGAGCTTCCTTCGAAATAAGAACAGGTGTCCGTCAGGGATGGGACCTTTCCCCCCCCCCCCCCCCACAAGTTCAACTATGCGATAGATTGGATAATAGGTATCGTTTGTCGGCACTCAAGAAGTGTGCAAATCAGCCGACAGCATAGCATCACAGATCTTGAATACTGATGATCCTTTTGCCCTTTTTGTTTTTTTTGTTGATAGTTATAAAGAAATGCAAATAATATTAAACAATATGTCAACAACTATAGCGAGAATTGGACACAAAATCAATGTAAACGAAACGAAAGTGTTATCGCCTTTCGTTATAAACAAGATGCTGATAAAATCCTGTTTTTATCATTTCAATACCGGTTGAGCTAATGCTTTGAATCCAATCTAATCTCAAATGGCCAGGCAAAGGATGAAAGTATAACCCGGAAAACGACAGCTAGGAATATGTTTTTCTGGTTGAAACCTCTATGAAACCTTCACGAATTCACCATAGAGACGAAAATCTGCGTCCATTTAGTTGCAATTCGCTCGACTTTGCTATATGGCTACGAAACATGGCCAATGAGGGTGGAAGATGTCTAAGATACATTTTACGGATCAAATAAAAAGTAAAAAATAAAAAATGGAATGTTTTAAATTAAATTAAATTTTTCGCTCATAAATTTTAGAAAATAATTCAATAAGATCTCGAAAAAACCTTAAATCAGTTGCATATATTTCACTTATTTTTAAAATAGCGAAATTTTATTTGCATAAATGTGAACGGTAAGGGTGGTCGCTCTAGCAGGGTGGTTCTTTAGAATCAAAATTTATGAATTTTAGAGCATAGAACGAGTTGCAGAGAGAAAATTCAGCAAATATTGTCTCAGTTAATCCTTTTTTCAACGATCTATGAAGCACTTTGATCAAAAACGACAAAATAGCGAAAGGAACGACAAAATAGCGAAAATTGACGACAAAACAGCGAAAAGTTTAAATTCTTAAATGTGAATGGTCTATTGACCGCTTTTGACAATATTTAGGTTCTTATAGATTTTTCTATAAAATAACAATTACAGCAATCTGGCCGAGTTGATAAATGTTTCATTCTAGTTGATAAGTGAAGTTAATCAAATCAAACAAAAAAATACATATATTTTTAGAAAACAATAAATAAAAACCCTATTTGTTACTGACAACTCCAACCAGTCTTCGCGGAGAATAAAGGGCTAAAATATTTCCTACTCGATTATAACGATCTAAATCTGAATAGGAAAATCTGAATCGGAATAAAATGAAAGGAATGAAACGACCGAAGTCGAATACGACTTTTGTAAATTGTCAGTCGATTATTACTGACCTGGCCAAGTAATATTCCTTTGTTTAAAATATGGATGTTTTGTATACGTTTTATTTCGTCTTAAAAAAGAATAGGAATAGCGATGCAAGAACATTATTAACACCAGAGCTAAAAAATATCCAATTAGCAGCCATTGAAATTTTCACTGATTTTTATCAGCTTTATCGGTTTCGGTTTATCAGTTTTTATCAAAATTCTCTCAATTTAATCACTTGCATAAAATATGAATTAAATCAAATATATTATGTTTAAAAATCTTTAATTATTTTTTGAAGAAAACCGTAAAATCAACAAATCATTGTATTCTTTTATTGATTAATAGCCTCATTATTTTAAATTATATCTCTCTTTTATGCGGAAATCTCGTTAATTCAAATAATCTTTACGTAATTACTAAAAATAAAATAAAAACAAATTAACCACTTCAGTCGATATTTTGATAAGTAAACGCAAAGATGGCAAAGAATACAGTAAAATGCGATTTTATACGCTGTAAAATATGCCTTAGGCAAGGATAGTCAAAGGACAACTTTCCTGATTTCGTTCCCCTCTTGTTGGCAATGTTTTGTAATTATACGATAAAATGGTACGACGGTACAACCAGATGCAACATTCGTTTTGACGATAACTTCACGGCGATTTCTTTGAGGTTTTCAGCATTCTTGAATGAATTTTTTAACTACGGTTTTCCAGGCTACGATTTTACCGTCCGCCTGGCCATTCTACATGAGAATAAATCCAAAATTTAAAATGCTTAAGGTGTGTACTTCCTCAATGATGAATTGATGATAGAAGGAGTGCTGCAAAAACTAATTAATTGGTTGAGCAAAATATTTTTGGTCAAAGTTCAAAGTTTTCTTGCTGAAATGCGTAAAAAGGTCGCGAACGAAGATGTTTGCCAGGCTGTATAACGAATGTAATTCCAGATGAATGCCTATTGCATTTTATTTCTAATGAATGTTAATAATCAGCAATTCCTTTCGCCGCATCTCTTAAAAGTTCTCAATTCTAGAATGAAAAGAGCTTTTCAAGCATGCTTATGGTAGTTGCCCTACGGAATGACAGCCTAGTGACAGCCCACAGCCCATATGGCATTGGCTCGCCAAAAAAGTGTCGCCGAGAGATATTTCGATTTGAATAAAAAATTAAAAAAAATTAATACATTAATTTTGTCGAAAAAGATTGTCTGTGGAGCAGACAAAAAATTTTTCAGGATTGTTTTATCTTTTATGATAATTTTGTGAGCTTTGTGAAACTTCTTCTTCAAATTAATCTAAAATCTTCTGAGAGTTGACTTGCTGAAATGTTGTCTGTTGTCGCATGAAAAATTATTATTTTCAAGAGATTTTCAAGCAGTCTGAAACGATTTATTGCGTGCTGCATGCATTATAGGTTTGCCAAAATGAATGTAAGAAATTTCTTATTTTATTGATGGTTTTCTCCAAATTTAAAGAATAATTTGAAGTGAATAAATAAAATCAGCTGTTGAATTATTTATAGGGAATATATTTAATAAAAAGAACTCCATTTTGGGGCGATAATTCTGATGGAAGTCTCGTCAGTCAATCATTATGAATAATTTTTCGATCCGAGGACCAGTTTTGATGAAATTCACTTTGTTCTCTTAAGATTTGTTAAGCACACTTTTATAATTGCATCTCTCGATGTTGTTTGTCTTTGATAAATTCGGCTTAGATTGAGAGCAATGCTGGCCGAGTAGTATATTCCTTGTCTCAAGGCAAGCAGCGCTTTGACAAGAATAAACCGCCATTAAAAGAATTTTAACGGGCGCTGATCGACACTATATTTCTACCCCAGTTGATTCTCTAGCAAAAAGGTTTTAGCAATTTTCACAATGAACTTGCTTTTGCTGCATTTGCAGATACTATTAAATGGATATTTAAGCTGCCTACAGACATTATCGACTACTAGAATGTTAGGATTTAGTTTGTATGTTCAATTTCACATACCCAGTTCTTCGTTTCATCTCGGTTCGCACGATTTGGCTGTTTTATTGAATAAAAGAAAAGCTGCAAAAATATTATCAGTCTATCAATTATTCACCAGTTTATCATATCATTAAACTGTCTGTTAATTAAAATATTTATAAGAACGAATTAGATTTAAAAAATAAAACCATCATAATTTTAAAAACAATTGTAATTTACATAATATAAAGCTCTAAATCCCAATCTTTTTTTTGAACACATTGTCCATCTATTTTCTCATGGAATTTCAAGCATTTGCATTGTACGACACAAAAACTGAAAGAAAAAAATCGCGGGAGAGCATGAAAATATGAAAGATATGGATCTATTTTCACGAATACCATATTTTCGCCACATTTGCTTCCTACAAGCTCGCACGAGTAATCAAACCATTCATCACCATACGAATGGTGAGAATCGGCAATCTAAAAAGATTCATAGGAATTCATATCCACGATTTTCCACAAATGAATTGGCATTGCTAGTCAAAGTTTCACTAATAATATTAAATGTTTTTTCACGAGCTCGGAACATTCTCAGTCGATCAACCTTGCAGAAGAAAAATCGCCCATTTGCCTCAAACTATTCCGAATAATTAGTTTTGAATCCTAAAAATGCCTAATGAGCGATCGACCACAATTGGGTTCCTTGGCGAAAGAAATGAATTACTGAATTACTAAATTACTCACCGCAGCAACTGTGGTCGCTATTTCCGCCAAGTTTTCAATACATTTTCCATCTTTTTTAATATATTTTATATTTGCACACATACATTGTTGAATGCAAATTTCGTGTTTAGTATTGACAAGGCCTGTGAACGAATTCGGATTTCCCGGTTCGCGGCTAATCGTAGCAAATTTCATATTTTCGCCACATCTTCGGTTTGTTAATTCGCAGCGAAGATCATAAATTTTTTCATCCAATGCACAGAAACCTTGCGCACATTTCGACTAAAAATTCTCATCATAAATTTGGAATTTAAACTGATGGAATTTATGTAAATGGAATTTACACCACTATTCTATAATGGTAAGTTAGTTATTTTCAGTATTATCATTAGCAGCCATATTTGTAGATCCATAATCAGAGTACCAGTGGATGTACATCATTTAGCATATTTATTCCTTGTGCATTTGTATTGTTGGACACAGATTTCAAGCCATAGTTCTAGATCCATAATGAGAGTACCAATGGATGTACATCATTTAGCATATTTATTCCTTGTGCATTTGTATTGTTGGACACAGATTTCAAGCCATAGTTCTAGATCCATAATGAGAGTACCAATGGATGTACATCGTTTAGCATATTTATTCCTTGTACATTTGCATTGTTGGACGCAGACTTCGAGCTAAGGATTATTAGATTATTAGACCGAGGAATTATACCAGTTAATTTGCATTCGGGGTCTTCAACTTTTTCATTTAATACACCGAAGTGATTTTCCCACATTTTGATTGAAAATTTAATGAGATGGGGAGGATTTAATTGTAACCTAATTTTCAAATTTTGTTTCATGCTTCCTATAAAGCAATTTCGATTCTGTGTTCGATTCATACAGTATTATTTTAAGGCTGTATGATCGAGTTGTTTGCCAGTTCAAACTATTTCAACTACGGAAATCAATCTAAGCTTTCAAATAGTAAACTATTTATTTATGACATTATTACTGGAATATTTGCATGCAAATTCTTATGCTTATTAACATAATTTTGCAATTTTCGCTCGGCAGCAATAAATTTATGGAGGCGATGGCGTATTTTAATAACGCTTATTGCCTACCATTGTTATCAACGCATCAGAAAACGGAAGCACTCAAAATTCCAAAAAACCCTAAAAGATTAATGTTAATGATAAAAATCCCAATTGATCAAGAGAGAAAGTTCTTTTCTTTCTTTTTTTTGCAGCAAGGTCAAAGTTTAACTCAGAAATTTTTTAGCCTACTTTTATGGCCAAAAAGATCTCAAGAAAATAGCTTGTTGAGATTTCTGCAATTTTTTCCTCATTAAATACCCAAAAAATGTAAAAAAGAGGAAAAGAAAGAATTATAAAGATTTTTTACGAATCTCGCAGTTTCAGCCGATGGAACTGTTGTAAATTTCGCAACACGTATTTCAACATTTTTCACCGTTTGAAGATTGATATACATGCATTGTTGTATGCAAACTTTGTGAAATGATAATTTTCTCGAAAAGCTAGCTCGAACTTGATAATAATGCTTGACAGTGATGAGCTCCATGTTGGAACCGCATTTCAATCCTGTCATCTTACAATGAACATCCAGAAATATTGCAGGGTTTTTAATATAATCATTTCCTTTTGCGAATGGCAACTGAAAAAATAAGAAAAAGAATTTATGACGACGAATTCTATTTTTATAATCTTTCATGAATTTTTATAAATATGTTTATAAAAATTCCATTAGCTTTATTATTGAAATCTATGGTGAAGTAACGAGAAAAAAGGTTATTTTGTCTAAAATGTCAACGCAAATTGACAAATGAAACATAAATTTGTAAGATAAGATTCAAGATATTGCTAGCTGTTAGAAAATTATCTGCAAGTTGGTCTGTGTGCAGTTCGACTAATTGCATGTACTGTGCAAGGATATTTGCTCAATCTTCCTTAGGACATTCATACACCAATTGTTAACCAAACAACATTTTATTAACTAACCAAAAAAACAAAGCCGATGAACATTATCAGTTGAAAATTTTTCGCAACTAAAAAAAATCATTAAAATATTATTTTATATAATATTGGATTGGATTTATGTTCAAAATAGAAAAACTAGTTTGCCGGAAAAGATTGTTTACGATTCTGATAAAAAATTTTTTAAAATATATTCCATAATTTTTTATGAATATTAAATCTTAAATCTAAATTTTATAAGTTTTATATTCCTCAGAGATATTCTGAAATTTTTTATTGAAAATTCTTCATTTTTTATTAATTTTTATCAAAATTTTTATCAAAAACTTATTCTGAAAACACCATCAGAGAATTTGGAAAATATTTTTTGAGATTCTTAAGCGATTTCAGCGAGATTTATGTTTTGCCAAACTGAATCCATGAAATTCATCAATTTATGAATGATTTTTCTCAAAATCTTAAATGAACAGTAAATAAAATGCAGTTGAAGTTCTGTTATTTATTAATCACATTCAAATACTATTTCACAACTATTGCTATAATACAAAATATAAAACAATGGCGTCGCCTTCGGAGATTGTTGAATATTACATATTTTACGCTCAAATGCCATACGCATTTATTATTCCCAAATAATAAAATAACACATAAACTCGTAAAAAAAAGTATGAACTGAAATTTCTTTACTCTTCATAGTTCAACAATTTTCCACGTTCCGACTAAAAAGCGCCAATTATTATAGTATGGTCCCATTTTTGCAAGAATATATAACTATATAGTCCTATGAAAGCCAAACTTTTTTCGTGCAACGTGGAATAACTACTTTCAGCAAATAAGAAAAGCTATCAAACGGAACGGAAAATAACGGAAAATAATTAACCTAAGAAAAGTGTTTTTAAAATTTTCTGCCCACAATTTTATGAGGGAATTCATAGAAATGACAGGAAAATAATTTAGCGGATATTTTGTAATGTTAATTTACAATAAATTTCATTGAAATTGTTCGGTTTTTTCAGCACTTTTGAGTAAATAACTTGGACAGTTTTCAGGGAAAACTTCGAGAGGAATTTCCATGAAGTGGACTTTGATAAATTTATTTGATAAATTTGATAAATTCAGGTATTTTAGATATTTTAGGAATTCTCTGATAATTTTTTAGATTTTAAATATTTTACTATTTAAATATTTTATTTCATTAAAAATTTTATCGCATTTACCAATTTTGCCTACCTATTTATTTGCCTGTTTTGTCTGTTTTGCCCGATCTGCCTATTCACAATTGATGGAAATTTTGAACAATTGCGAATTTTCTTTTTAAAAATAAGACAATCACAAAAATTAATAAAATATATAATTCTAAAACGATAATGAAAATCAAAACAAAATGGGCTTTAGGCACGAAATTTTTCTGTACACTGAATTCACCAGCAACGATCATTTAGCATTGCTTCTCCTTCATAGATTCATTTATTATGCAGCTGATTTTAGTTACAATTAAATAATCAATTAAATAAATTTAATTAACGATCAATTAAATAAATTTTAAAATATTTTCATCGCGCAAAAGATGGGCTAACAAAAAATAGCAAAATTTTATGAATTTTTCACATACAAAATTTGTTTTTTAAAGCGAATTAAGACTTATTTTTATTTATTTATTTATTGAAAACCAGCCAAGCAGGGCGCAAACGCCATGTGCTTGTATTATTAATAACAAATAATAAGAAATAACGGCAAAACAAAAAAATAAAATAAAATTAACAATTTAAAGATGAAATAAAGAGGAAATTACAAAATAATATAATATAGTACAATTCGAAATAACTATAATCGGATGATAAAAATCGCGATTTCACACTTCTTGCGTGATGTAAATTTTTTAAATAATATCACAAATGATATTATCTAATCTTTTTTTAAAGATAGCTAAGGATGGCGCACAAGCTATATCGTTCGGTAGTTTATTCCAGTATTTAATATTACGAATAAAAAAATTATGAGTCCTTAGTTTAGTTTTACACATAGGTTTTAGTAATTTTAGCCCATTAGTTCTTGTTGGATTTAAATTTAACTTAAAATTATAATATTTTGAACAATCGAATTTAACATAACCATGTCAAATCTTATAAGTATAAATTAAATCTTGTTTAATACGACGAATTGACAGGGAATCCAGGTTATGTTGTAGAAATTTTCTTTTATGATTAAAATTGCAATTAGGAGAGAGGTACTGTATAAAATATTTTTGGAATCCTTCAATTTTTTTATTTGATTTACGATATTTCGGGGAGTAACATGTAGCATTGTAGTCAAAAGGTGGCCGAACGAACGCTTTATACATTTTGATAAGAAAATCTTTAGTTTTTTCATAAACGAACGAAAAATAAAATTAGTATCTTTGAGGATTTCTTTACCATAGTTCCTGCAGTGAGGTCGAAATCGAGATTTTCATCCATGTCTACTCCAAGATCGGAAATGTCGTAATGACTTCGAGACTCACTGATGACATTGAGACTCACTGAGACTGATTATATCACCATTGTGATAAAAAGATTAGAAAGAATCCTTTAGAATTAATATGAAGAACATTACATTTTTGAAAGGAAAGGGTAATTTGCCTGTCATATAACCAGCTGGCTATTCTGTTGAAGTCCTCCTGCAGTGGAGATAGGCTATCTGTTCTACCATGAGAATAATAAATTTCACAATCATCAGCATAAAGCGTTCAACTTATATGAGACAACTTCCAAATTTTGGGATTAAGGACAGATTTTATAATGTCCTTATAAATTAAGAATAAGGGATAACTTAGAGAAACTGCACATTTTTTATAAATTATTATTTTCGGGACCAGTTGAAATGGATGGATGAAGTCTATTTAAGGCATCATAAACATCCAGTAGTTATTTCAACCTCACTGAGAGAAGTGCGATAAATTCGATTTGCTTTAAAACAAGAAATATGAATATTATCCTCAAAAAATATCAGATTTGATCACATTATCATTATGTTGCAGAATTAATTGTTTACGTGGCTTTGCAGATTTTCTTTTGATGTAGCTCCAGAAAGAATTTCTATTAATATTTAAAAGTTGCTTTTCCTCATCTGAAAAGTAATTATGAATGGCATTACGGAACCTTCTTGAATATTCTTTATATTCTTTAACATCCTTGCAGAGAGGTCACTTGGCAATTTGGTTAATTTGTATTGATACTTTTTTTAAGAGATTTTAAAAAAATGGGAATCGCATTAACGCTTTTTTTCTTAGAGGGATATAACGCTCTATAAGGTTTAAAATGATGCTCTTAAGAATATTAATTATTTCATCAATAGAGGAAGTTAAACAGAATAAGAAACCCCAGTTTAATTCTGCAAGGATGTTAAAGATTTCATAATCACAGTGACGATAATTTCTAGAATACCTCGAGGGAGCTATATAACGGTTTAATTTTAATGAAGCATGAATGATATTGTGATCTTTATTACAAAAAGGTTCCAAGACTTTAATGCTATCAACAAAAGAAGTAGAAACAGAGCTAACAAATCTAAAATAATATTGTACCTAGTGGTAATTTTAACATGTTGCTCTAGACCTATATAGGTTTAGAAAATCCTCTTCAAATTTGCTGTAATTTTTCAAGCAACTATTTTCCCAATCTATATTTAGCATATTAAGGTCACCAATAATTTACGTAATCGACACCAAATAATTTAAATCTAAATAACAGGTTGTAAAGGTCCCTAGTGAATTCATTATAGCCATAGCCAGGTAGGCGGTATATATTCAAAAAGAAAATGTT